GCCTGTAATCATAGCACTTTGGGAGGCTGAGTTGGGAGGATCACTTGAGTTCAGAAATTGGAGGCCAGACTGGGCAACATAGTGAGACACCATCTCTTTAAAAACAAAAACAAACAAACAAACAAACAAACAAAAACTGCTTGTAACAAAGGTCGAAAGGTCGAATGAAGCACTCCCCAAGGCAACTTGGAAGTGTGTCTGGGGCCACTGTTCTCAACCTTGGCCCAAATAAACTATATTAATTTTGCCTCAGTTTCTTCCTTTAGGTCAACAGTCCCTGTAACAATACACCAAAGGCATAGGTATAAAAAGATGGCCTTACCTTTTTCATTAGTGTGGAAAATAAATATTGTGTGTGCAAAGTGAAAAAAATCTAAACAGAACAATTCAGGGAACTAGCCCCCGGCTAGGGGACATTGAAGTTGTGCTCAGCCTTTTGCTTCTTTAAACACTGTTGTGCTGTGTAAATCAGTTCAGGTTAACCTGGAGGAGAAATTCACATGAGTAGATCAGCTGGTTAAATGGCACAAGCATTTTCTGTCTCGAGTTATACTGGTGTAATCTCAGCTCACTGAAACCTCTGCTGAGTTCAAGCCATTCTGCAAATATTCACCCATTGTGAGTTGTCTTTTCACTGTTTCAGTGATGTCTTTTGTTGAACAGAATTTCTTAATTTTCATATAGTCCAATTTATCATTTTTTTCTTCTATACTAGCTTTTGTGTCCTGTTTAAGAAAAAATTTTGGTATGCAACAAAATAAAAAAACAGAATTAAAAAAAGAGAAGCATTCACTTACTCTAAAGTCACAAAGATACTCTCTTTCTGTAAACACTACTTAATATTTTATTTGATTATTTATTTATTTATTTATGTATTTTTGGAGATTGGGGTCTCACTATGTTGCCCAGGTTGGTTTCGAACTCCTTGGCTCAAGTGATCACTCGGTTGCTGTATTTTTAGTACAGACAGGATTTCACCATGCTGTCCTGGCTGATCTCGAACTCCCGACCTCGTGATCTGCCTGCCTGGGGCTCCTAAAGTGCTAGGATTACAGACGTGAGCCACTGCGCCTGGCTTGTTTATTTTTGAGATGGAGTCTTGCTCTGTCTCAAAGTCAGGCTGGAGTGCAGTGGTGCGATCTCCACTCAATGCAACATCTTCCTTCCAGGTTCAAGCAATTCTCCTGCCTCAGTCTCCCAATCAGCTGAGATCACAGATGCCTGCCACCACAACCGGCTAATTTTTTTGTGTTTTTAGTAGAGACAAGGTTTCACCATGTTGGCCAGGATGCTCTTAAACTCCTGACCTCAAGTAATCCACCTACCTCAACCTTCCAAAGTGCTGGGATTGCAGGCAGTGAGCCACCGTGCCTGGCCTATTTATTTTGATACTTAATTTCTTTTTTTTTCTTTCTTTTCTTTTCCTTTTTTTTTGTTTGAGACGGAGATTCACTCTTGTTGCCCACGCTAGAGTGCAATGGTGCCATCTCGGCTCACTGCAACCTCCGCCTCCCGGGTTCAAGCAATTCTCCTGCCTCAGCCTCCTGAGTAGCTGGGATTACAGGCACACACCACCACGTCCAGTTAATTTTGTATTTTTAGTAGAGATGGGGTTTCTCCATGTTGATCAGGCTGGCCTTGAACTCCCGACCTCAGGTGATCTGCCCGCCTCCACCTCTCAAACTGTTGGGATTACAGGCATGAGCCACCATGCTCGGCCTTGATTCTTATTTTCTACGTAACTCTTTAAGCGATGAATTTTCCTCTGAGCCCTGCATTAGCTGTACCCTATAGGGTCTGATCTGTGCTGATTACAGTGTTACTTGAAGATGCCGCCCTTTTGGTGTTGATTTCCTCTGTGTAACGGGATGTTTCAAGAGCCAGCTGTAAGAGTCTCTGGCTGGGCTGGGAACGCACATTGGCTGGCACTGCTGGTGGTGCAGCATGGATGTGAGGGCAGGGCCTGGGCAGGTTCCCCAGGGTGGGATGAGCAGGGAGGGAGAGGAATGGGCTTCCTCCAGGGCCTCAGGAACCAAGGAAGTCTCCGAACTACCTCCAGGCAGGGTCAGATGTGCATTTTCCAAAGCTTATTGCATTAAGAGTGGGGAGTAGACTGTGGTGGTACCAGCAGCATAAAGACCGAAAAGAAATAAGGAGGTGGAGCCCGGGCTGAACCACACAGCTGGAGGGGATGGGTGGGGGCAGTGGAGGGGGATTCTACAAGTAGCACAGGAGGGAGGTGAGGCGGGCACCACAGAGTTTTCAGCTGCCTCAGGGCTGACTTCCATTTGGCTTGTTGAGTCCAAGGTGCCCGTGCACCTTGTCCAGATGCTCTGGAGGTGGTTGGGGGATTGCTCGGGTATGTGAGTCTGAGACTGCACACAGCTCGGCCAATGCCAACATGGAGATCCATCAGTTCACAAGTGGTGAATGAGCCTTCTCTGGGTGGGTGGCTGTCCCAGGTTGGCCAAGAGTCCAGGGAGTGCACCCTCAGTCTGCAGCTGAGTTAGAATCCGGCACCTCGGAGTTAGGATTGTACCCCTGCTGCGGGGAACAGGAGCCCCTTTTCCTCTCCCTGACATGCAGGGACAAAGTTATCATGCTCTGTGGGTGCTGCTGGGAGGCACTGATGGGACAGACTGGCCAGGCCTGCCCAAGCAAGCTCCAGGCAACCTCCCAGCACCCCGGCCCAGGTGCAGGTGTGGTCTGGGAGCACAGAGCCAGGTTCCCACCGTGGGGCACCTGAGGTTTGTGCCTAGCAGCCTCTTCCTCCTTTGATTCCCTTTTCCTTTTTGGCCCACAGGGTTTGGGACAGGTGGCTGCTACCAACAGGTCTCAAGGTGGCTCCACAGACCTGAGCCAGCCACTTCTCCTCAGCCCTCCCCTGCCCATGAAGACTGCTCAGAGGGGCCCAGTTGAGAGTTGGATCTGGGACTTTGGTTAAACTGCAAGGGAAGAAGCTCTGTCACCCTGCAGGGCATGAAGTTCAGTTGAAGCCATTGGGACCATGGCCTGGGATCCTATCTAGGGGGAGGCTACCACACAGAGCGCCTGAGTTCTGGCAGCAGCCCAAGAGAGTCAGTGATGATGGCAGGTCTGCCCGAGTGGTGGGCCGGCTTGGCCCCTCATCTCAAAGTGAGCCAGCTTTTGCTCCCTGACCTTCCTCCTAGTCTGCCAGACCACCCCTTCCAGCCACGCAGTCAAACCCAGATTAGGAATTAGCCCCATCCAGCCCCTCTCCCACATACGACCTCCAAATATGTCCACGTCCCAATCCCTAGAACCCAAGATGAGACCTTATGTGGCAAAAGTGACTTTGAAGATGTGATTCAGTTAAGGATTTTGAGATGGGGAGATTATCCTGGACCGTCCAGGTGGGCCCACTATGCCCCCACAATTCACATGTTGAAAGCTAATCACCAATGTGATAGTATCAGCAGGTGGGGCCTTTGGGATGTGGTTAGGTCATGAGGATAGAGCCCTCACGAATGGGATTAGTGCCCTATAAAAGAGACCACAGGAGCCGGGCATAGTGGGCTGCACCTACAGTCCCAGCTACTGAGGAGGCTGAGACAGGAAGATCTCTTGGGTACGGGAGAGAGCTCTATGATCACGCCATTGCACTCCAGCCTTGGTGACAGAGTGAGACCCTGTCTCTAAAGTAATCAAATAAAAGAGACCCCAGAGAGCTAGCTAGCTTCTTCCATTATGTCAGTTAGAAGGCGCCATATATGAGGACGTGGGCCCTCACAGGACATCAAATCTGCCAGCACCTTGATCTTGGACTTCCCAGCTTCCAGTGCTGTGAGCAATAAATTTCTGTAAAATGCTATAAGCACCCACTTTCCAATATTTTTGTTATGGCAGCCCAGGCAGACTAAAACAACCTCTGTGGCACATTTGGGGTGATGTAGGAACAGCCGATGTTCCCAGGAACCAGTGAGGGGCAGGAGTCCCAGATCCCTCTAGCAAGATCCCCAGAGAGTACCATGTACCCACCCTGCAGCTGGCAAAGCTGTTTATGGAAGTTCGGGGCCTGCTGGTTTACAGCGGCCATTCTCAACCAGGGGATGTGGCACTGTCTTGAGACAGTTTTGGTTGTCATGAGTGGGTGTGTGGTGGGGAGTGCTACCGCATCACACAGGCTGAGGCACGGGATGCTGCTCAACATCCTACAGTGTGGGGACGGCCCTCACCACAAAGAATCACTTCATTCAAAATATGGATGAGGGCCAGGCGCAGTGACTCACACCTATAATCCCAGCATTTTAGGAGGCCGAAGCAGGAGGATTGTTTGAAGCCAGGAGTTTGAGACCAGCCTGGGCAACATGGTGAAACCCCATCTTTACAAAAAAAGCAAAAAACCAGACGGGCGTGGCAATGCACACCTGTACTCCCAGCTACTTGGGGGCCTGAGGTGGGAGGATGGCTTGAGCCCAGGAAGTCAAGGCTGGAGTGAGCTGTGATTGTAACAGTGCACTCCAACCTGGGCAACAGAGGAAGATGCTGCCTCAAAAAAAAAAAAAAAAAAAAAAAATTGTATATATAGTAAAAATTATCACCAATGCCCTAGTGCCCCAGAAGAAAATCACTTTACAGACTGCCACAGGAAAAACAACCTCTTTTACAAATAAAGTCACAAATATAAATTAAAAATCACACAAGGAAAAAGTCACCACGAGGGAGAGTCTGAGAGGCCCCAGCCAGGAAACTCAAACTCACTTCTCAAAAATGGCATCAACCACAGACCAGAGACCACGGTGCTGAGATCCTCAGCCTGGGAGCAGTGTAGACAACACTCTGCTCTCTGTCTTGGAGGCCACGGAACTGGCCTGGAGGCCACAGTGGCCTCACAAGGTCCCCAACTCCTATGGTCCCCAAAGCTGAAGTATACCTGGCCTAAGAATCTCAGTGACTGAGCTCCTCTCAGGTGGCTTTGAGCAGCACGGACTTGGGGAGTGGGCTCTGCCCTAGGCATCCAGCTCGGACCTCAGCCTCACCTGGCTGAAGCTGGGCTCATACTCCACATGGCCCTTACTGTTGACATGCAGGATGGGGGCTGCAATGGCCGCTCTCAGGTCAAAGCCAAGCCACAGCTTGTTCATGATGGCCTGGGGGAGAGATGAGGGATGCAGGGAGAAAGGGGGTACCCACTACCCTACTTCAGCCCTTACATCCCCACTCCAGGGAGAGTCAGACAGTATGCTGCCCAGAGAGGAGACACTGGAGCCCAGAGCCCCCCAGACTCACCTGGGCCATGGCAGAGACGAGCTCCCCGCCAGCCCCGCCAATCACTAGCTTCGACCCTTGGGCTTTGTTGATCAAGATGGAGGGCACCATGGAGGACGGGGACCGCTCGCCTGGAACTGGGGGCCAGCACCTTCCGGGAGCTCCACCCACCCTGTCTCCATTCACTGCTGAGCAAACAGCGGCTTAGCGAGTGCAGTGACCCATCCAGGGGTCAGCATGCAGCCCCAGCCCAGCCCCCTCCCTCCTCTTCCCTAGTTGGGGGCCCTTGTGGAGCCCGGGTGGGAAGCCTTGTTCTCACCAGGTGAGCAGGTGGTGCCGGAACCCCGGGGGCATCGCTCGCATAAGTCCAGGAGCTCGTTGTTGAGGATGATGCCTGTCCGTGGTGAATACACCATCGCTCCAAAGCTGCAGCCGTGGAGGCAGAGCCTGGGCTCCCACCAGACACCGCCTGCCCTGCCCACCTTGCAGGACCCCCTCACTTTACAGCTGTCCCAAAGCATGCTGGAGCCACTGTTCTCTCCCTGGCATCACCCAGGAGGGGTCCCCAAAGACCCACCTGTGCCCCCACATCAGGGCACCCTTCTGAGTGAGGCCGCCCATTCCCAGATAAGTCTTGGCTCGGGGCCACCCCAGCAGCAGCCTTTCCAGCCAGAGATGTCAGGGGTGGGGACATCTCCTCTTTTGAAACAGAGGAGGAGACAAAGGGCAAAAGCAAGGTCCTGCCCCATGGGGACAAGTGAGGGGACATGGGGCTGGGGGAGTGCAGGTCTAGGAGAGGAGGAGTGAGGCCACCAGCCTTCCCCCAGGCCCCACGCACGGTGTGTTGATGGTGCTGGTGGCAGCCACGGCGCTGCCATCCTCCCCCAGCACAGACATGGGACATGCCTGTCCCATGGCCCCAGGCCTCGGCCAAGCTGTAGTGGCTGAGCTGGTGGTCCCCCCGGCCATCGAACTGTTGGCGGATGAGCTGGGCCAGGGTCTCCTCTAGTAGGTCCCGGGAGGCATTCTGGGGTGGGTGGGCAAGTGGCAGGGTCAGTGAGGGGCCAGGCGGGATCCGCAGAACCAAGGGCAGGACAAGCTCAGCCCCCATGGGGGCCACCTCCAGTCTGTCCTCTACCTTGTGGCCAGGCCTCCCTCAAGCCCAGGCTAGGTCTAGACTCTGCCCACCCTCCAGGTCCTTTGAGATATGGTGCCACTCCTGCACCTGACCCCTGTACCTGCCACCCCGGGATCCCTTTCAGTCCTGCCCTGGCCTAGAACCACATACATCTCCCTCCAACCTCCCCGTGCCGGGCCTGACCCTCCTTTCATGCTAAGTCCTGAGCCAGGGAGAAGGATAACCCCCCAGCCCAGCAACCTCAGCAACCTCACCTGGAGCTTCGGGTGGCTGCAAGGGTCCCCCAGCCTCCACCTCTGCCCCCTGGCAAACTTGAGCGTCTCCACAAGGTGGTGGTACATGTTCACCCTCCCCTCAGGCCTGGCCACAGACTCTGCTGAGAAGTTGAACCCTGGAGAGAGGTCGGGGCACAGGTTGGGGTCACCCTATGTAAAGGGTTGAATGTTGCCCCCCCTCTGCAGAAGGATTCACCCACATCCTAATTCCCAAAACCTGTGGATACTACCTTATACAGCACAACAGCGACCTTAAGTGGAAAAGTATGTTAAATATATATATATAATTTTTTTTTTTTTTTGAGACAGAGTCTCACTCTGTTGCCCAGGCTGGAGTGCAATGGCCCCGTCTCAGCTCACTGCAACCTCCGCCTCCCAGGTTCCAGTGATTCTTGTGCCTCAGTCTCCTGAAACTACAGGTGTTCACCACCACGTCCAACTAATTTTTTTGTATGTTTAGTAGGGACAAGGTTTTGCCATGTTGTTCAGGCTGGCCTCGAACTCCTGGCCTCAAGTGATCTGCCTGCCTTCGCCTCCCAAAGTGCTAGGACCTCAAGTGATCTGCCTGCCTTCGCCTCCCAAAAGGCTAGGAATGATAGGTGTGAACCACTATATCTGCCTTTTGTGTGTGTGTGTGTGTGTGTGTGTGTGTGTGTGTGTGTTTGTTTTGTTTTTGAGAGGGAGTCTTGCTCTATCACCCAGGCTGGAGTGTGTGGCACGATCTTGACATGACTAAAATAGTTCCTATGAAGCCAATAGGGCCATTGGTATCATGTAGAAGGATACAAGACATGAAACACCGTGTGCCAGCAGACTGGTATCATGCCTGTGTCTTTAGCAGGAGTCCTCACGGCTGTCCACACTTCAGTCCAGGGGCTATTCTCTGGATTCTGCTCCCCAAGTGACACCTCAGGTGCAAAGGAACAAGGTCACATGGGTGGGCACAGGGCTGCCCGGCTTAGAAGCCTGTGTCCCAAAAAGGAACTGAGATTTCTTTTAACAGTCCCATGGTCAAAGTTTTCAAGAGTCCCAGCAACGGACATGCCTAGTTATGAACACCACTGCGCTCAGGGAAACCCAAAGTATGGTTTAACTCTTGATTTTTTCTCCACAGTAAACCACCAAAAAGTTGACCACAGACTTCAAAACATTTCTAACAACAGCAAAACCAACTGATGGCAGACTTCAACAATTGCAATTACTCTTCTCTAACTCTAGACGCCCCCATTGTTTACAATTCATTCATAGCTCTCCCAAGTCAGATAATGATGACCAACTATGGGCCATTTTTATATGTAGTCTGGTAACCCAACACAGACGACATCCCGCCTTTCCCAGGTTTCCAAGGGAACCGACTCAGAAAGTTAACCCAAGTTCATATTTGTTTCTAGAGAAAGATAAAAAAAATTTTTCTAACTTTATTCGTGCGTACACAATACAAGGGTACATGACATTTCTGAGAGACCTTCAACCTCACTGCCAAATTTTCAAGAGCTGTGACAAACCTTAATGTCAAACCAAGACTGATTTTATAGCATAAGTGCCATCACATCTGTCAGCTGGATCTGCCATGGACTTTTTTGTGTCGTATCAACTGCTTCCCCATGTCTCTGAGTTGTTGAAAGTATCACAGCCCCAAACACATTTGTTTTTCTTCCTTTTTTTTTTTTTGGAGATGGAGTCTCACTCTATCTCCCAGGCTGGAGAGCAGTGGCACAATCTCGGCTCACTGCAACCTCCGCCTCCTGAGTTCAAGCGATTCTCCTGCCTCAGCCTCCAGAGTAGCTGGGACTACAGGCATGTGCCACCAAGCCTGGCTAATTTTTAGAGATGAGGTTTCACCATGTTGGCCAGACTGGTCTCTAACTCCTGACCTCAGGTGATCCACCCGCCTTGGCCTCCCAAAGTGCTGGGATTACAGGCATGAGCCACTGCGCCCAGCAGGCAAACACATTTCCAGTTCATGCATACATATGCCAGGTGGGATGAACTGGCCCCGATGGTGCTCATGGGTAGAGCAGGGTGATCCCAGGCCCCAAGATGGCAGGCTTAGATGCTGGCAGCAGGTGGTCTGGCCTGTTGTTAGACCCCCTGCTGGTGCAAGCATGAAGCAAGTGCCAGAAGTGGCAGGAAGGGCAGGTCTATCCCCAGGTCCCTGGATGGAGTACTTGGGCACTTATGGGGTGGGGGTTCTTTGGGAGGGGTCAGCCTGTCCTCAGGCCCTGTGGGAGCCTCCATGGACACAGGTTGTGGTGGGTGGGCTGGGGTGATCCTCAGGTCCCTGAATGTCATCCTTGGGCACCAGGGGCAGATGGCCTGGGTCTGTTGTCAGTCCTCCCTGTGGTATGTGTCTGTGCCCATGGCAACAGGTGGGCAGAGCAATTTCCAGGCTCCCGGCTGGTTTGCTTGGGTGGCAGTGGTGCTGACTGGTTGTGAGCGGGGTGAGTCTGCATTCAATAGTCAACTCAGAGACCCCAGATGCCATTTTCCATGCCAACTGGCCTGTCTGGACATTGTGCCATGTGGCTGGCCCCGCACTGGGCCAGGCCTCCATGAGGATAAGGAAACATGGGAGGCAGGAGGTCGGGGCCCTGCCCTGGGGAGGGAGAAGAATGGGTCACAGGCAGTGGTCATTGAGCAGAAGAGACGGAATGAGCAGAGGATGCTGCGAGGCAGTGAGTATAAGGAATCATATAGCTGAAGGTATTCATCTGACATATACCAGAAACTAATACAGAGTAAGAAAATACAAAAACCAAATAATCCAACAAAACTTGGGCAAAGAACCTATAGACATTGCTGAAAAGAAGGCAGGAAATGAACTAACAGGTAAAGGAAAAGCTTGTCCACATCACTAATCATCAAAAAAATTTAAAGCAAAGCCACACTAAGAGAGTGTCCCCATCCACATAAGATGTATGTTGCCAAAAACAAAAACAGAATTTTGAAAAGGCAATCACCAGTGTAGATTTGCAGAGAGGGAAACTCTTTGACACTACTGGTGGGAATGTAAATTGGTGTACACACTATGAGCAATAGTCGGCAGTTCCTCCTCAAATGAAAAATACAACTACTATCTCATCCAGCAATCTCAGCACTGGGAAATACAAAGTACATGGATGTATTATGCTCCCTGATTAAAAATGACATAGAAGAGCTACAGTGATCCAAACAATATGGTATTGGCATTAACACAAAAATACAGAACAGACACAACGAGGGAGCCAAATACCAAACCCAAATTCATATATGATAGACACATTAAAAAAAAATACACCCAGGGAATGGGAGACCCCAGGCTGCCTTTTGCTGGGATGCTGAAGTGTCCTGGGGTCTACAGATGCCGCTCACCTGGGCTTTGGATGGTTTCTACTCCATGAGGATTTCCAGAGTTTCCCCTCAGCCACCGTCAGAGTCAGCGGGGCTCCCATGGGCCAGTGACCATCTGTCCCAGTCTTTCCTGTCTCCATGACACACTGTGTGACCTACGTATACTGCAATATGTAGGTGCGTGTATTGAAAGTGTACAGTTAAGATGACCTACAACCGATGTTACTCGAAGTCTTCCAGAGATTTTTCAGATATCCCCAGACCAAAACAAACTAGTGACATTCCATGGTTTTGCAAACCAGAACCAACAACTGCACAGAAACAGCTCCTTATGCACCATCAGACACTCCCCAGACCCGCCCCACGCTCGCAAACGTAACAAACGAGCATGAACCCAGGCAGTCTTCCCTCCTAAGGGCCACTTAACAACCTCTATCAGTCATGCAGCCTTTGATCTGGGCCAGGCTGCCGACCCACAGGGGTGAATTGTGCCTCTAATGTTGAGTGTTGCTTCCCCTCACTGGGCTAACCCCCACCCTTGCATCAAGAAGGGTCCCTAGGGAAACTGCTGTTCGACATCCAGGAGCCCATGTGGAATGTTCCAGCAACCTGGATGGCCTCGGCCACCTCTAGTACCAGCCTTTCCCTCTGTGGGGCTCCCTTCCTGGCTCTTGCTCATGAAGGCTGATCTAAAGTGGCTGAGATGTCCTGCTCCCTTAGCCACCCAGGTCACCCTGATGGCATTACACTGGCCAGAGGCAGATGTCTGCATCCAAGAATGAGGTATTCACAGTCCAACTTCCCTGGTGCAGGGGACAATGTCTGGCACCTCCAGACAGCCAGAACCAGGTAAGGAATCCAGCTCTGACACAGTTCAAAGACTGTGTGGCAGACCTGGAGAGATTCTCCGGGCCTGTGTCCTCTCCTGGCTCACTGGATTCTTAGGAGGATTATTGAGACACTGGGCTTAAAGCTCTCAGCCTAGGGCCTAGAATGCCACAGGGAATCAAATCAGGGTGACCAAGGACTGAAGATGTCTCCTTGGCTGGGAATGGGGGATCAGGGTTGCAGAGACAAGGGGCACAGAGTGATCCCTGTACCATCGGAGGATCTGGTCCACCCTAAGCTCATCAACCTGAGTGTGAGGCCTTGCTGGGACCTGAGCTCACCTGCCCCTTGGGAGTCCACTGTGACTGCAGTCCAGCAGGATCAATGTCCTCACTGATGCCAGACAGAAGTCCTGGGAGATGCGGAGGGCATCCTGTAGCAGCAGGCAGTCTGGGTGGTCCACAGGTGTGCGCTTCAGCAGGTCCTGGAAAGGGATGAGCTGGTGAATTGAGGGATGTGTTTCCAGGGATCGGTGAGAAGCCCCTGGGGAATGCTCAGTCCTCACCGAAAGAATTCAAAGGGCAGGCCCCCAGGGACCCACACTCATGCCTTCAAAATCTGAACTGAAAATTAGAATCGGAGCAGCAGGGTTGACTCTAAAAGGGCCCCAGCTGGCTTTTCTCCCTGCTGCAGTCTTTACTCTTTTCTCCTGGCAGAGGCAGCCAGGTGGAGGCTCATGTCACCAAGCAGCTGGGAGACACCCCTCTACCCACCCTGCAGCTGCTCCAGGGATCCTGGAGACCGAGAGATAAGGATTGGGGAAGCAGGACCTTCCTGCATCCACCAAGAGAGCAACTGGCCAAATGCCAAGCTCAGTAGCTAAGCTCTATTGAGGCCCTGGCCCTGTTGGCATGGTTACCTCAGGCCAGGGAGGCATACTCAGCACCCAGGATCCCTCTGCCTGACTTTTCAAATGGTCTGTTCTCAGTGACTATGGTGCTCTCCCACCCTGGGCTCAGTCTTCTGAGAAACTCCTAAGCCCTTTCTGGCACTTCAGGGGTCTTAACACTGGTGTGAAGGACCAGGATGCTCTGAGTGACTTACTTGGTCAATGGGCTGGTACAGCAGAGCTGTTGGGGACAGCAGAGAGAAAAAGGACAATGACATACAAAAAACCACTCAACACCTCAGAGACCAGTTTTTTCCCCCACCCGCCTTGCTCCCCACATGAACACCTGCTTGCAGGAAGCCAAAGAGGGTCCACAGCAGCCTTCACCTCTGTTCTCACTCCCAGGGCAGACCAAGCAGCAAGAACAGGTGACACACAGCCCTGGTGACTGTGTCCCCTCTCTACCCATGCCTATTCTCCCATCAGACTTGGCTTCTTCGAGGGCTGCCCCAGTCCTGTCCAGGCCTTACCTGGCTCAGAGCAGATGATCCCATGCACCTCCCACCCTGAATCACACGGCTACACCCAGCACATGCTACAGAGGCCCAGCACACACTAGGTCACATCCAGAAACTCTACAGTAGGAGAGGGGACATGCTGTTTCCCAGGAAGGGCAGCTCCCCAAGCCTGGTCATTCTCAGACTCCTCCAGTCAAAGACCGGGCACAGCCAGCTGGGATCGCCATGCTTCACTCTGACCCACATGACTGGCCTTGTCTCCCCTATGGGAAGAGACCCCTCCACACAGCCTCAAACCCAGACATAACAGTACAGGACAGGCTGGGCACTAGGGAGGCCAGCCAGATCTCCACACAAAGGCTCTGCTCTTAAGCAGGAGGCAGCCTCAGGGGCAAAAGTTTCCTGAAGCAACTCAGGTCAGGCCTCACATACAAGAGCCCCAGAGGCTGCAAAAGCACCAGCTCAGCCAGCCAAGAACCCAGGGCCACACCCTTCTGAAACCCAGACACCAAGTGAGGATCACTGGGAATCAGCAGGAACAGGAGGACGTGACAGCTGGCAGACCAACACTTCCCAACACCCTTCCAGCAAGCAGCTGCACCCCTCCTGATGCGAGTCACCCCACTTCGGTCCTGCACCTGGATGCCTCTGTCCAGGGGAGCATGATATTTGGTCTCCTGTCATAGGAGCAGTGAGAGGCAGGATGGTGGTCTGGGAAGAAGGATCCTAGACTGGGTGTCCCATAGGACCAGGTTGTGACAGATCCCACAGCCAACACTCATGCTCCAGCCAACCCCCAAACCCAACAGCTCCCCAAAGCCCTCGATGTAAACAGCCTGTGCACTGCTAAGCAGACACTTCAGGGAACAATCTGACGGCTGTGAAGAAGATGCAGCCTCAACAGGGTTCCACAAGCCTCTGCAAGCAAAGCCTTCTTTGCTTGGGTGCCTCTTCAAAGCACTAGGGAAGCTCTTAAAAGATACAGGACCAGGCACAGTAGCTCATGTCTGTAAACTCAGCATTGTGGGAGGCAGAGACAGGAGTACAGATTGAGGTTAGGACTTTAAGAATAGCCTGGGTAGAATAGTGAGACCTTGTCTCTACAAAACACAAAAATTAGCATGGCATGGTAGTATATGCCCATAGTCTCACCCACTTGGGAGGCTGAGAAGGGAGGATTCCTTGAGCCTGGGAGGTCAAGGTTGCAGTGCCCATATCATGCCACTGTGCTACAACCTGGGCCACAGCACAAGATCCTGTTACAATCAAACAAACAAACAAACAAAAAAAACCAAAGATGCCTGTCTTCTGCCCCATCAAATAAATCCAAATCTCCGCAGGGTGACACAGGGTATTCACATTTTTAAATATTTCCTCTGCTGAAGTAAATGTAATGGCTGAAAACCACTGAGTTATGTAAATACACTTCCTATGACTTATTTGTAGCCCTTTTGTATCTAGAAATTTCTACAGACCCTCTCTGTGGGTTTCGGAAGCCAGAATGGGCAGGGCCAGGTGTGAGGTGTCCTAGCACACTGAGGGTGAAGAACAGCTCCCAGCTCAGGGGGACCCATTTCTGAGGCTAAGGCACCCACCAGGGGCTCAGCCTGTCTTCAGAGGGAAAGTCACACCTCAGAACCCCAGAGAACCAAAAGAAAGCTCGAATTTGGCAGATACCTGCTGGTGGACCCGAGAGTGGCACCCCAGGGAAAACCGCCATTGCACTGTCAGCTCCCTCCAGCCAGCCTTCTCTCAGGTCCCAACAGGAGGTGGTTTCTGAGTAAGCTCAGAGGTCTCAACAAACGGCAGGTTGAACCTCAGAGGAGTTATTAATAGGTGTACAGTTACCTCAAGACTCCACCTGATCAGGGCCAAAAATGAGTCCTGGGAGGGCAGCCAGGAAGAAAGCAGGGCAGAGAGGAAACACAGGGAGAGGGGGCCCTGGGACCACGTCAGATATGGAGGGAACCAGGGGAACGAGGGCAGCCCTGATGATTGTGCTCCCCACAGGCCCTGCATGCCTGTGTCCCCTGAGAATTCAGGGTGAGGAGCTCACTCTTGCCTCTCACCTGTTCCTGGGCTCTGGCAGGCTGGCCTGCTTCCTGCCCCAGCCTCACCCACTCTTCGCACTCCTCACCACTGCTGTGGGCAAGCTGATCTCTCTGGTTTGCTGGCCTCTCACTCTCTGCCCAATGGCACCGAGTTAACTTCTTTGCATGCTTTATTTTCTGTGATTAAAAAGGGAAGCAATTCTCACTAATGCCATTTCTCAGAGGAGAAAACAGGCACAGGGATGTTCTATGACTTCCTCACGATCACCAAGCTAGAAGTGGGAGCTGGGCTTTGAATGGAGGTCCACCCATGCTCCTAAAGTTGAGCTGTCCTCCAAAGAAAGGACAGCACTGTAAAAGCTCAGTGAATGGTACGGGAGACTTCACTAAGGCCTGACCAGGCTGGTACCCTGAAATCCAACTTCCAGCCTCCAGAACTGGGAGAAACATAATTCTGTTTTTGATCAGCTCCCCAGGCTATGGCTCTTCGTTGTAACATCCTGAACTAGCCCAGAAGTGCGATTCCATCACCTGTGTCATATTTCATCATTCAGAAGGGAGTCACTAACCCCTCAGTGCTGTCTTTGTGGATGCTGCCCACCCTAGGCTGAGATGAGGCACAGGGTCTGGGTCTAAATAAAACGGGAAGGCACTGGAAGGTGCAATGTCAGAGGAGGACGATGTCTGAATTTCATTTAATCTCAACATCTACTGATGCAGCATGAAAGAGGAGGCCCAGAGCAAAAGTGTCTTCTCCTGAGACCACACTGTGGACCCCAGGGACACTGGAGTTATATTCCATGCTACTTCTCACTCCTTGTATTTCTTCCATCTGTAAGTGTGTGCAATATCTACAGGGAACACCACACCATGAGTTTTATAAGATCTATCTCAAACACACCTCATGAGTTCCCTAGGAAGGAGATGCTAGCATAACCCCCATTGTGCATGCTGGGGAGGCCCCAAAACACCAAAGGAGTTCTCTAGGGTCTCACAACTGCTAAGATAAAGGTTGTTTGACCAAGAACTGTCTCCTCAAAACTGGGACCCTGTTTACATCCAGGTCTTCCCAAGGTGCTGAAGGGGCACACTTTGGCATAATGGTGAAAGGTAAGGAGTTGATGGGGGAGGGTGAGTGGCCAGAAGCCCAGTGGGGCCTTTGAGTAGGTCTTATGGGAAGGAGGAGCTTACAGGATGGAACCTACAAGATGTGACCTCACTTCCTTACTGATAGACCCCAACAGAACTTAGAATTCTGGTAACTAGGCACCCATATTATACACACAGCCCCATTTCCAGTTCAGTTAGTAGTTGACACTCAAGAGAACAACATGTTCTCCTGCTGTGTCCCGACTTGCTGTCGACCTCCTCGTCACAGAAGAGGCCAAAATGAGAGTCTTTCTCGAGAATATAGACATTGGTTCAACCCTAACCCTCGACGCCTCTGGCCCTTTGCCAGAAGGCACCCACAGGTAACACAGGACCCAGGGCAGGCCCGTCCAGGCCAGGCGTCAGCTGTGTCCATCAGGGCAGTGCTGAGCCCCTCCCCATGTGTTTGGGGGAAACAGGAGAAGAGGGGCCCTTCCTGGACAGGAGCAGGTAGGCTGTCGGGGGTTGGGAGCCTGATCAGTATGTCAGGTTCACAGCCCAGGCCATGCCTTCAGGATGGGAAGGTGAGTTTCGAGGACACAGTTTGTCTGCTCAGATCTGAATCCCAAGACCTCAAGCTTCATCTGCCAGAGACGTCAACCTCCTCTGGCTGGAGGTCTATGTAGATGCTCCTGTGTGCCGAATCCTGTTGGGGAAGGGGGCGCCAGGGAGGAGTTCTAATGGGGTATCCCACTATGGGGTCAGCCAGGCAGGCCACTGACACCTCTTCGCCCGGCTCTTGGGCACTCTCTTTGCAGAGCTCCACACGGCAGATCAAGCAGGGGCTGTTGGATGGATTCCATTTCTCCATCTTCTTCAAAGAAGGGCAGGGGCCCCCTGCTACCAACCACGGCCAGTGCTGGTCTAGGGTGAGACT